AGACGTCAATCAACATTTGGTTGCTCAACTCAAAAAGAGAACTTGTAATGTTCGTTAGAAAATGAAAAAAAGCTATATTTTATAATAATAATAATAATAATAATAATAATAATAATAATAATAATAATAATAATAATAATAATAATAAAATAATAATAATAATAATAGTAATAATAATGACGACATTGCAGCATTTGTAAAATGTTTGTCACTGGTGCTGGGAACAGTCACAAAAGTGGGGGGCCAGGTCCCCCCAGTATAAAAAAGTGGGTGGGCCAATGGCCCCCTGCCTCCCCCCGCTTCCGCCGCCGTTGGCTTCATGATCAAAAGTTCTTGCCAGGATTTGGTATGTTGTTCCCTGGAGCGGCTGGGCTGCTGGGCCGCGGCTTGGTGACTGGAATCGTAAATAGGCCGTGTGAAGTAAAAGGTTTGCAGAACGCTGATTTAGTTCACTGTTTAGCATTTCCTTCGCCCTAGCAGGGACGTATCCAGGGGGAAGGGGTGTGGGAGCCGTAATTGTAAAGCTTGTTCTTTGAGCCAATACAAATTCTTTCCTGGGATTACTCAAAATGAATACTTCTAAAACATGTAAATATTCATCAGTACACGTTATACATAGGCCTAACAGAACACATAGGCCTAAACGTAATTTTTTAAAGTTTAAAGTTTTTTTTAATAATAAGTATACTAATAATAGTAATAATAATAATAACAATGATGATGATGATAATGATGATGATGACGATAGTAATAATTGATAATAATATTAATAGCAATAAAAAGTGAAGAAAATGTGTTGATCATAATTATTATAGTATAGTTGAAGCTTAGTAATCTAGTTTAGTCTAAGTTGTCCTGGATATTAAGTAGATCCCTTATAAAAAATCATGAGAAATTTGTTGGCGTTTCATTTTGACTATATAATGGTGATGTGATGATGATGAATTTTACTATATAAAAGTGTCATTTCCGGCCATCTAGAAGTACTATTTCCTAAAATTTTCTCACCTCAGCCCCAACCATGGTTGGGCTTAGGCGGTTGTGAAATCACGTTTTTGAAGTAGTCCTATGAAAAGTACATACTCAAAGACAATGTTTTTAAGCTTTATTATCTATGGTGTATCACACACACTTAAATAAGATCTCTATGGTTGTCAAAAATCCCTGATAAAAGATCATGAGAATTTTTTTTGGCGCTTCATTTTGACTAATGGTGATGTGATGATGAATTTTACTAAAAGTGTCATTTCTGGCCATCTAGATGTACTATTTCCTCAAATTTTCTCACCTCAGCTCTAACCACGGTGGGTCTGAGGTGGGTGTCGACTCACAAAATGTCCTCTGCCTCCACCTTTCAAGCAAATATGTGCCTTTCCCTGGGTATGACATTAAACGCCATCGAGTCGGCTCCTGATGTATGTCTTAGTGACTGCTGTGGCGAGGGTCCATACATTTGTTTTTAGGGTGTGATCTGGTTTTTTATGTATATTTTCGTGATTATGACTATTCTGCATAAAGAATGTTTTCAGCAGAGGTGGATTCAAGGCCCGCCCCCATCCCTTCATTTTTTAGGGGAAAAATATATATATATATATATTTAAATTTAAGTGTGAGAGTGTAATTTCCGGTCATCTTACCTCAGCCCCAACCATGCTAGGGCTGAGGTGGGTGGTTTCTCTGTCTGTGAAAGTCCCTCCCTGGTTCACCTCTCTTTCAATTCCTAGATCTGCCACTGTTCATTTATTATATAATTATTGTTGCGCTTATTTATAATGCGTCTATTGCAATTTTCACTTTAGCCTCTCAAAACAGTCCTAAGAATGTTCAGAGTGCGCTACTTCACAGGGGGATTCGCCCCCTCGACCCCACCGGAGTCCTACGTAATTCGCATAACGGCTCCCTCCTTTCAAAATCCTGGCTACGTCCCTGGGCCTTAGTGCCTAAAGCTGAATAAAAAACTTTTCTGACATTTACTAACAAGTCAAAGCAGGATTGATTTATGTTGAAGCAATTCATAACCCTTTTACATGTGTCACTGCAGCGTATAGCTTTGGGCGTCCGACTGGTCTTGTCCCTTCTCTTATTCCCCATATAAGATATCCTTGGGGATTCTACAATCTTCCATTCTACCTCAATCTTCTTTGTTTCAGAATTGCTAACAGACTAGGTACTCCGGAGCTACCTCATTGGTTAGGTTTTCCTTCCAACATCGTGGAGGGAATGAATTCAGCTTTCTTTCCTGAGTGGTGTACAATGACGATGTCTCACTACCATATAGCAAGATGCTCAACACACTTGCAACATATATTTAACTTTAATGCGCAGTGTGAAATGTTTATTCTTCCATGCATGGTTGATAAACCGGCCAAACTGCCTTTCCAAATCGTGTGTTGACTCTACTGCCTAATGAAAGTGAATTGGGCACGGATGTACAAAGCGAGGTGAATGTGTCAACTGCTGAGTTGTACGCCAGTATTATGGTTGGTGGATGAAAGTTGCCTTGATACAACACAACGGTCTTTGTGTTAATGGAAGAAATATGACCAACATTATATAGTGTTTCTTCACTCTGTGCAACCAGGGCTGCATTATCTGCGAAAAGTAATTCTATGATAAATATTCGTCTGAGACTTTGGTTTTAGCTCTACATAGTGGTGCACATTCAATTAGATTATTATTGATTATTATTAATCGATTCCTATGATTCCATCCTTTCTTTCTTATTCAAATAACATTTATTCAAAGATGGAAATAATATTGATATACAACAATACAAATAATAAACCACCATCATTGGGATTATGACTATAACTAAGAACTTGTCTCGTCATGATCCCTGTCTCTTATACACATCTAGATGTGTATAAATCTACCTACGTATTGGGGAAATTTGGAATGATCTGTACCTGTCTTGACATTCATATCTCCATTCACCAGCAGAATACCCCAATTACTGGCTACTCTAATTTCTTTATCAAGTTGTTTTGGAGGTTAAAATGCTTAACTTCCAATCCCAAGATTATGGGCTCAATTCCCGTCATGGTAACATGGTAACATTATTTTCTCAAAATAAAACTCCATTAAGTCTCATATCGACTTAGTCTGTGAGAGCAACTTGTATGTATATTTGTTTTGTGGAGAGGTAGCCACTTTTACAGCCATTAATTTCACTCTTTGGCATATCCTTGGGCCTTGTGCATAAAGCTAATTAAAATGTAAATTGTCGATAGACCTACATTGATGAAGATTCAAGGGAACTTACCTTCTTGAAAGTGCAATAATAGGTCTGCTTTGCCTTTTTTTCCGTTGGGACTTCGTCCCAAATCATGTTGCTCCTTGTGTCAAACTTGAACCTTACTCTGCAATACCAAGGCAAATACACTGACTTCAGTAACTAACTATGATGCAGTAGTTGCATACTGCTCGTTAAGTTCGAATAACCTAATTTTATGAGTCCCTACTGTCACGCAATTGTACATCTTCACAATGCACTCTGACGTCCATTTTCTGAACATTGGCGGTTTGCATAGTCTACTCAAAACCGTTATACAGCTAATATTCAACTTCAGGCAGTGGAATATTTACTCGACTATGTCAACATATATAGTCTGTTTAAAGGGCTTTAACAGCAGCTGCTAAACTCGCAAGCTCTCTAAGAACAAGAAAAACCTAGCAACACACCGATTTCTAACTCACTAACCCATTTAAAATCAACTGACACTTTACATTTTAAGTAGATCGCTAATTTCGTTAAGCATGTATATCTGGTCATTATCAAAAAGCACATAAATTTAGAAATTTTCTAACACATCGTTAATTAAAGCGTCGGCTTGAAGAAGACAAAACAGACATTTGCCGTTGTGTGAGAAGTTGAAGAATATTTTTCTTGTAAGTACTAATTTATCTATTTCAAGTTCTTCTCTGTAACACAGCGAAAAATCTGTAAAAATAATTGACTAACTTATCAATTATTTTTATTAAACCGAAAAGACTAAGTTTATTTTACAATTTATTTTATGGTACAGTACCGTGACTTGATATCCAAGGGTCTTAAAATCATATTCTAAAACGCCCTTTTTCATGCATAGCGTAGTTACATGTTAATGTATGTTGCCTCCTAATCACAACCAAATAGGAGTATGTTGTACATATTTCAGAGCATGTAAATCATTTTTGTTTTTATTTTTTACTACCAGAACTATAGAAATGGGGTTTAAAGTCTTATGCATTCTCTCGCTTGCCGGCTTCTTTGTGTTTGTTAGCAGCCAGAATGTAGAAACCAACCGAACACCAGAAGATGTAAGCAAAAGCGAAACAGTGCGTGAGGAAGGCATGCGTATTGTACAGCGTATCTATAGTATCCTAGATACAATTAAAAATATGGAGAGAAATAAGAAGAATGAAGAAAGACGAAAAACCGAAATTACTGAGTATAACCCAAAAAGAAGACCTGGTGGTGATTTCAGTACGCAGGCTTGGAGAAAGAAGCGAAGTACAATCGGCAAAAACCTGATGGAAATTACGTTTGTACAGCGCCTGGACTCGGAAACCATGGAGTTAAGGATTGAAGTCAAAGAATTCTTACAAACAATTGGACAGGTAACACCAATCTTTTAGTGTATAAATTACATGCCCATAACTAAATGTAGCAAGTATATGAAACATGTATCAGACGTTATATGTAATTAATTTTTCAATCAAACGCCACATACTGGCATTAGTAGGTATTTTTGGGGGTTTGTTAGTCTATCGGTGAAAGCAAAGACTTTAGAATCACATAAAATCACTCTTCACTCTGTAGTAATAATCTTTATATGCAACGTCAGCTACTTTTACATATATAGTTCATATAGCAAAATACAATAATTATATGAATAATAATGATGATAATAATAAATCATTATTTGTATAATCATCATATCATCATCATCATCATCATCATCATTATAATCATCGCCAGCATAAGCGTTATCATTACAGTTATTGTTATATCATTATCAACATTATTTGATTCAACACAAAAGAAATTGTTATTCAAATTATTATTATTATTATTATTATTATTAATATTATTATTATTATTATTTATTATTATCAATATTATTATTATTACTATTCATTTAAGATACAGAACTTTTTTTTCCAGTGGTTGCGAAAAGCTTTAAATAAATCTCACATCGATGTTGGCGATACCGGTACTCGTGGATTTTTTGCCGAACTAGCATCAAATGAAGAAGTCTTTGTTGAATAAACAATTTAATGATGTAGCTGTTTAGCTGTTATTTTTGAAGATAGTTTAAGCATAACTAGAACTTTACGACAATCGGACATTTAAAAAAATGCTATTGTTCTTTTAAATGCGCATATAATTAGTACTATGTAACCATGCTTCAATTTATTGACTTTGTCTAGCTTTTTAATCACTGTTCGATGTAGAGTAAATTATTAATGAACATTCTTTCGACTCAATAAATCAAATTATATTTGTAATGTTTCTACCCATGCTTTAAGTTATTATTTAAGTTATTTATTAATATACATTCAGCTCAATAAATCAAATTATATTTGTAATGTTTCTACCCTATTTATTCAATTCTAGGCACAAAGGCATAGATAAAGATATTAAATTTATTCAATACATTATCATAATATCTATTAATATAGGAATTTCTAGTTCACATAACTGCACTTGAAATTTTATAAAATGTTATTTTCTATTTATGACAATGATGAATACATCATAAAAACATTATTGAATTAGTTTAATACTAATGATTATCCTATATATGTTTAACTAATATTTCTCATCGGTTTTATATTTTATAGTTACCTTTATTTCTATATTTTAGAAAATACAAGGTATGCCAAAAAATCATTTATTTTTCGAAGACAATAGTGTTTTTGTATCTTGGATCTAAGTGTATATTTGGTCCTCATCGTTACTCTTTAATCTTTGCAGACAGTTACAGAAAATTAAAAGGGCACGCCATATTGTTTGTAACGCAGGACGAGGGTGTGTGCTTTCAACACAGTTACACTGTATAGAAGTTTTTTTTTGGTTTTTTTTTGTTTTTTTTTTTGTAACGAAGCATAGAATGTGTATTATTGCATTTGACACAGTGGTTTACACTTTTTAAAAGTTCCGTAATGTATTTGTATTGCAGTTTTCATTCAGAACGCAAGCTAAATCTTTATTTCTGTTATTATTATGACATTGAATAACCGAAGGTCTTTAGTTATTTGAATAAAAGTTAAAAAGTGGTATTGAATATTAAATGTTTTAAGTATATTCTACTTTTGGATATTTTAGTAATCATTTGTAATCTACCATAGCCTTGTATTAGCAGAAGTCATTCACAGTTTATACGTTACACATCAGCTTCTACCAATGTGTCTCCGCCTACTTTGAAATACACATGTGCAATAATACTTGTGTAAAAACAATCGTTGTGTTTAGGACAGCAAACCGACCAGCGATTCTGCTTGCTCTTGAAACAGCTAATTGCTACAGATTAAAGTCTTTTTTTTACACCATACGTTGCAAGTGTCCGAAATGTTCACTGATTAATCTCAGATCAGAAAGTATAACACAGCTCAGTCGGCTAATCTGGTGGTAGCCACCGTGTGTGCGCTGAACCGTGGTGATATCTAGGTCCCCGGTTCAATTACCATCGCTGCCTCTCCTTGTGTTTCAGCTGGAGGGCTAAAATTAAGTTACAATAACGCACCGTCTTTCGGATGAGACGTTTAAACCGTTTTATAATTTAGTTGGTCTTTTGTGTATCCGAATAAATATTTAGTATTATTGTGTTTAAGTTAAATTCCACTTCACGGACAATGTATCCGAAATCATGAAGAAACACACAGTACTGTAAAAAAATTCACATTAAGTAACATGGTAACATTATAATTAATAGTAAAAATTATCACACATTTTTTGTATTTTTAAGTTATGTTGATGCCTTAAAAAACAAGTCCCATTACCTTATATTAGCAATGTTGATCATCGTCATCATCATCATCATTATTATCATTATCGTCACCATTGGTATTATTTAATTATTGTCATTGTCATGATAATTATTAGATCTGTATTACTGTGCTTATTAATACTGTACTTTACTGCATACGTCAAGTAGGCCTAAATAAATTTCGTAGGCCTACAACTTATAAGTATTTATATTTTGGTATGCTTGACTGAGATACATTTAAAAAAATAGCGCAAAATCACTGTCAAGTACTTAAAAATCATCTAAAATCACCCTATTTTGCGAATTAGCGCCCTCAACTGGTCATCGAGCTCCCACTTCCCCCACATCTAGATGTGTATAAGAGACAGGGCCCCACCCCATCAGCACCCCCATTTCAAGACTAGATACGCTATTGGCCATACTAAGCTATAAAACACGTACCGGCACATATTACTCCTTCGGGGGATTTTTATTCCCGGCTCTAAACGACCCCTTGGTTTGTACCCCCTGCCGGACATGCGTAAACCGGGCGTGGACATGCATCAACCAAATGTAGTACAATTGTTTATCAGTGTTATTATTCTGCTCAATAAACGATTAATTACTTGTGCAAATTTAAAGATGTGGGTAACCCACATCTTCATATACGACTTTGATGGGCACTGTCTAAAACTTTCTTCCAGCTTATCTGTGAAAAGATTAAAACCTTTTCGTCTGTAGTTGGCTCAACATGAATTACACAGGAGCCAGTGAGCTTCCATGACGGCCTAGGCTCGGACATGACACGTTGTTGTTTGTTGTTATTTCGCGACGTTATCAACGAGTACAATACATTCATTATCCACGATCAACTAAACTGCCTTAAAGGGAAAAAAAATTGTTCGTGTGGGAATCAAACACACAACCTCCATGTTTGCTATTCATTAAAGAAAAAAAAAACTGGCTCGTGTTGGAATCGAACCCACCACCTTAAAAAAAATTTTTTTTTTAATTTGCCCCGTGTGGGAATCGAACCCACGATCGCCGAGTTTACTACTCTACTAAACGGATGGAGGTAAACCGCGGCCCCTAAGCCATAAATGCGATAAACCTAGTACCGCACCAAGTACCAGTTAGTCAACTCTGATCCTACTAGAAAAAATTCTTTGTATATATACACTGCAGGTTAATACTACGCATGGTCATGGTGTCAAAAATGGGCCGTAGGCCAAGAGGGTTAATTTTTTTGTCTAAAAATGTAGAATTAAATTTATAATCGATTTTTGATTGTTACCATCTCCATAACCTACGCACATTTTTTAAATAGACAAAAATGTTTGAAAAATTCATTATGCAAATTAGAAAAAAATTAGACTAATCATGTTACGGGAAACCTGGTGGTTGTGTGTTCAATTCCCACACAAACCATTTTTTTCCCCTTTCTTTTTTTAAGGCAGTTTAGTTGTTGGTGAATAATGAACAGCAAACTTGGAGGTTGTATGTTCGATTCTCACACAAACAGTTTTTTTTTTTTTTTTTGTTTTTTTTTTTTTTTTTTTTTTTTAAGGCATTTGTGTTGATGGTGGATAATGAATAGTAAAACCTGGTGGTTGTGTGTTCGATTCCCACACGAACCATTTTTTTAAGGCAGCTTAGTTAATGGTGTAAAATGAATAGCAAACTTGGTGGTTGTGTGTTCGATTCCCACACGAATCAATTTTTTTTTGGCCCGACGTCGGTAAACGTTTGAAATTTACAACCTATAACCAACGTCGGCCCAACTGTTGTTTACCGACGTCGGGCCAACAAAGTACCGTGACGTTTGGACAACGTCTATAATCACATCTTAGTATTTATTACAACCTCTTACCAACGTCGGACCAACAGTTGTAACCAACCTTCATTTCAAACGTTTACCGACGTCGGGCCAA